ACATCTTCCGAGGATTTCGGCCTCATGAACCTTGAAAACATGGTCGCTTTACGTCCGATGATCCGCAACCAGAGAGACCTAGCATCTTTCCTCCTAGCCGTTGCCACGTGTTAGGCCACTCGTGTCCGAAGTAATCTTCCGGTTCCTCCAAGGTGGTTGCTCTGTCCAAAACTGCCTCAGATGCAGACTTTTCATGCTACGGCTAAATACGAACCCAACCTGCTTTATTTTCAAACATCGACCGCACACTAATTTATGCATGTTATCTCACTGTTGTCAAGCTTCCCGTCGGAATGATTGCAAGTCGACTTTTTCTGCATTCCGACTAGCAGATAAGTATGATTGGGAATGGTCAAGCTGCATGTAAACCTAAATATATACTTCAATTTTCTGCTGTTTTTCACGCCTGGGCTTATGAACGCAACATTTTGGTGTAGCGGTTTCCCAACTTCCCATATTTTGCATTTCAAAAGTAATTATCACCTATCGGGTCTACCAACTATAACTGGGTTCACTCGAATAACTGTCTACGTTTTGGCTCCACCTGGCTTGGCTTATAACCCCGCAGGAAACATATTTCTGCCTGCGCTAGGCTCACTTCGAAAGCAAACGGTAAGGCGCTAGCTATAATCTGCTTAGTTGAACGACACTCTTGTAGATCACTGGTAGAGCGGCGGTCGAAGTCCGTGTTATTGCATAAATGCTTTTCCTCGACCCTGTTAATGTCGCTATGCCTATCAAGCTGCTTTGAAAAGACAATGGGCTCTTATTTGAATTATGGACCTTACAAAAGTTTACCCGTGTAAAGTGTGCGTTATTCATCGAACTGCTCTTTATACTCTTTGTAGAAAGAATAACAGGAAAATTCTCATGGGCGTTCGGCTGCCAGCTCCAGTAAGTATTCTCTCTTCCTAGTTTGTACTTTCTCGTGCTGTAAATTCCAAAGGCAATCGACGATAGAGCCAGCTGAATAACTTGTGCTGAAACGGTAGTAAAATGTTTTTCCTCTAAGCGGTTCTGTTAGATGATGTGTAATTACAGAAGGCGACAATTTGCACCTGTACTACTACCCGCTCAGACGCTGCAGTCTACAAAATAAATTTGCCATTATTAACTAAATCTACCAGTTTTAGTTAGTTATTAGATATTCACCTTAGCCAATGCAGATAGGAAAGATTTTAAGTGTTCCTTATTTTACAACTTATTCAGAATTTTTATTGACATGGAGCCCGTTTGTGTAAAGTTGAAAGATGAACTTTTAGGCATCATTTTTGTGTTCCGTCACCTATTGCATTTTCCATCTAAGCGGATGGTAAATTAATACGAACTTCTCTTGCTACCGTTATAGCTCCAGACGATGAATGAAGATCTGCTATGGAAGGTGAGTATTCAACGAATCCTTTTTTATCAACCTTCAGTTTTTACAGAAACTCCTGTATCATAGAAGTCTGTTAAAAAATTCCAGCAGACGACAACGTCAATTATCCAAAGGTTCCGGCTCTGTGAGAGAAAAGCAAAAGTTTGAGAATATGTCGGTTCCTATCCAACAAGTTTTTGTCTGTGATAAATATATCGACAACTCGATTTTCTTCTTGCGTGAATCGCCACAGGTGGGATATCGTTTAAGTCTTTTTAAAGGTGAGACTGCCACTTGTGATCATTGGAACAGTTTAACAAGTTTCTAATTTTCGCTTTCAGACGACTAGCAGATTTACGATGAGTTACAGTGATGCTATCGTCTTTCATGAATCAAAATTGTCTTGGCAGTTCTCGGGAAATGAAGACTTACTGGGGTTAACTTGCGGGGCTGTACTCTCAGTGTAAAAGCTCCTAGTTCAATCAACCTTTAACATTTTGGTTTTCAGGAAAAGTCTTTGATTGCGCGATTGCGGAAATTCCTTTTAAGGAATTACTCTTCCCCCTGGTTCTTTTTGAATCCAGTCCTGTAAAGGGCCGGTTGCAGTCTTAACTAAGGCAACGAATCACTGCTGCAAATTTAGATTTCCGTCCTGAAGTCAATCTCTTTTTTTAAGTTTGTGATATTCATTGCTTTATGCATATTGATTTGGGTTCAGTCGACCTTTAGAACTTTGACTTGGGAAGGGTATGCGCTCAGTCTGATCTGTTTTTTACAGGAAAATGAGGATGAGGTCGAGTATACCGAACTGACGGCACCAGAAATGGACCAGCTGATGCGTCCTGCAGACCTTGCCTTCATAATGGATAGAAAAGAGAACGGTAAGTCATTCAGTCTAGTAAATGGGAGCCTCTTAACGTTTTTGTTTAATTTGCCAACTGATCAAACATTAGTTTTTCCGGCAAAAGTAGTTTATGTAGTACACCTCATATACCCCTAGTCCCAGCATTTTATCCTATAGAAACGGTGGCTAACGGATTTTTTTTTGGGGGGGGGAAAGGATAGGCAGGGAAGAAAATTTCTATAAGTAAGTGTAAAGTGAAAAACTGTAGTCGAATTTGTTCCCCGCGACCACTGGGAGTAAGTTGTTCGTCATGTAAATTGAAGGTGTGCGTGGCGCTATGCGCCGCGGTCTATACTAATCTTACTCCAGAAGTAGACGACTTCCTAACCACCATTTCTATTTTTTCAGGAATTTCAAGAAACCTGAAATTTAATAATTGGGTTTTTCCGCAATACGTTAAACGATAATACAGATTGGGAAAATCTACAGATATACATCAACAACATTTCTAAATACAAAAATAAAGATGTGTATAGCAGTTATCAAAGTATATTTCGCTGCCTATCCTAATTCCCCATCCATGAAACCCCATAACCACCGTTTCCATAGGGCAAAATGCTATGACTAGGGGTATGTGAGATGCACTACATAAAGTACTGTTGCCTTTTTTTCCTTTATTGTTGGTTACGCTTAATTACGTTTATCAATGTTACCTTATAAAAATCAATTATAATTAATGAATTGGTCGTCCTGGAAGTAAGTTTTCAGACAGGATTTACTTTGGAGCACCTACCTTCCGATTCTCGGGGGACTTTTTCTAATACCGTTTTATTGTTTCTGGCCACGTTTCATTCTTTTAAGACTCTACTGATTGATACGCAACTCCTTTTTTGGATTAGATGGACGAGCCATAGAACTGTTTAAGGACCCGGAAATGGAAGTAACCAAAACCTTCATGGTCCAGCGCAGACTTGCCAGTGACCTGCCAGGTTGTTGGACTACTTACAAGGGTGATTCCTTCAGCGTGCCGACCATTCAGCAAGTCATCGCCAATAGCGGTTCCAGCACCAGTGCTCATCTTGACAAGGTAAGATGAATCAATAATATATACTGAAAAATGTTTCTGACGAAGATTAGGTACAAAAATAGCCTTTTCGACATTATTAGTCATCCCTAGCACGGATCCCAAAACAAAACGAAAAGGTCAGAAATTGGCATACCGATAGTCCTTTTCGACATTTACTACTAATAGATGAATCACTGTCTAGGGGGTCTTGTTTTGAACCCAAAACCACAGAGAGACGAGCAAATACCCTCATTCATTTCCAGCTTAAAGCTAGGCTTTCTCAGCGGGCGTCGCTCTCAGATAAATTTACGTATAGGTTCCAGCATGGTTCCTTCCTACGATGAAGCGGATTGCTTTTTAGATTTCGAAGATGGATGAATATTCCTTGTTCGCTGCGTATCTCCCGAAGCGTGAAACCGATCGCTGGTTAATACAAATGAAGCGTACCTGTTGTTACCTAGTGCATCTTTCTACCTCCGTCGATTTACCTCTTCACTAATTGTAAAAAGTCAGCCAAGTTTACAAATTGTTTGACCATTTCAGCGACTTTTTAAAATTTTCTTCCTTTCCTGATTATTTGTCACCGACTTTACCGTCATTCCTACCTTGCCTAGGGGTCAAATGCCGGCTTATAATCAAACGTCCAGTGTTTTACTTTTGGTTCTGGCAAACGAAGAATTTGAAATTATAATTTGATCTTCATGGGTGTGGTTCATCCCGGCATACTTGTCTCGAGGCACGAAAGTAGCTGAGTCAAGCAGTCACATGGTAGCAAAATAATTTACTTATTTCGAAGCAGGTTGGTGTCTGCAGCTGGATGCCATATGTACTAATAACTCTATAGAGCGAAAGGTATGGGTAGCACGCTCGTCGTTTGCAGACGACCTCATTATTGTAGTTCGAATAAACAAAGAGGGCTAAAATCCGTATATAATAATCATAGTAGGTCAACCGATGTACATATAAGAAGATGTACCTGCAATTGGATAGCAGAAAAACGGAATCCCACTATCAAAAACCCGCCATGGACTCGATCAAACATTTAATCTAACTCTAGGTTTGTGTTTCCTTTTGGATAGTAGGTATTAAGTAGGCAGTTTGATCTACTTTACTGTGCGAGTTCATCCGATGGGAAAACGAGAGAGAAGAGCAGAACCAAAGGAATAACCGAATAGTAGCATTTTGCTAAAACGGCTCGCACTTCGTTTTCTTCCTTGGCAATTGACGAAATTGCTCTTTTGGAGTTTGATAGGAAACCTGCTGTAGTCCTTGAAGCAATATAAAAGACTCTTTCTCTTTTGATGCTGCGAATAATATGAGAATGCAAAAGGTGCGACCCGGAACTAAATTTCGATTAGTCCAGCTCTCAAATTCCGATTGGCTCCTCTGCCGTTGGAGTTACCAGGTTGCCGCTCCGGACTATGAAGAATGTAATGATTCCCTGTTATTCTGCTTGCGAGTTATCATTTCGAAATACTAAATAACATTAAACAGAAGGACTACAACGAGTCGAGAGACAGGAAATATTAAATTTTGGCAGGGACAACGGTGGCGACCCCGTGACAACTTAGCTGAGCATTTAACTGAAAGTTGGGAGGTTAGCAGCTCGATTCTGGTTCAGGACGAATTTCCGCTAACTTGTGAATAAAGAATTGCAATAGAAAATTATTTTGGAATTTGATACTCCTTTTTTAAAATTCCCTATTTTTTTGGATTTTACACAAATAGTTCCAACTGGGACAAAGGATTGCACCGCTGGTGAGGCCACTTGTTTTCGCAAGGCCAATGCAGGTAGAAGGAGAGATGGCGATTGAGGCGTCGAAACTGGTATGTTTTCTGCTTTGAAAAGTAAACCGACCTAGTAGTAATAGGAATACTGTTAAAGGAACATATAAAAACGTTTTCTTTTTTCCTGCTACGCTTTTCAGTCAGCTTAAAATTTACTTTCTTTCATTTCCTGCTGTTTTATGTCAACTGCAAATCCCTGACAGACTGGTTCTCCCCTAACCTTTTGCTTCACTCAACCTACCTTATTTAACTACTTTCTCTGGACCTCTATATTTTTAACATTGCACTGGTTTCCAGCAAAGTAAAGTCAGTGTAAAAGACCCTATTATTTGAAGCACGTTGCTCCCCTCGCGTAGACGCGTGGCCATTAAGAGACCGAATACGAGTGGACTAGCGGACTGACAGTAAGAATCCTAGGGAGCAGTGTGAGTAACCGCTTGAATCTCGATATTTTGGGTAACTTTTCTCACCTGTGCTGACTGGCAGCCAATTATATTTTTTAGCAATGGTAAATGTCAGCAAGCATTATCTAGGAAGTAACAAACTTTCCTTCATTTTTTTCAGATAACGCGCCTTGTTTACCAACATTCACTCTCCTTGCAAGACGAATTTTTCATGGGCAGCTACCTCTACCAAATGGTAAGATTACTGTCATTTGCACAATTAATTCTTTTTTATGTTTTGTTGCCTGGTATTTTGCTTTCTCCAAACCCCAGAAAACACAGTGAATGTGCACTTCATATGCATAGGGTTAAGAGCCCTGGCTTGTCAATCGTTGGCCAGTACCGCAATGCTTCTAACCGCTCTGTCCTTAATACTTTTAATAAACAGCACCAATTACCAGATGCAGCATTCAACAGGGTTATGCTTAGATGGATGCAGCAAAAAACAACTAGCTGGTTATCCGTTATGGTTGCATCTTCAGTCGTGACTCAAAACATCTCATTACCAAGGTCATCAGGAGAACATCAACCTCAATGCAGGCAATTAAATTTAACCCTATCAATGTCTATCAGACTGGTGTTCACCGATTTACCTTAACCTAGATTTTGAGTGAGGGGTTAGGCGTCCCTATTTGGAGCTCTAAAACAGGGGTTTGTTACCAGGTCAGATGGAAAATTTTAAATACGCTCGAGAAGGCGCGAACTTGCTGCTCAACTATTTAGGTGTCAGACTTGAGGCCAACTAAGTGAGCTTTCAAACAATATGTCTTTTCGTTCTGGGGTTTATCTGGGACTGTCTGAAAGGGAATTATTTGCATTCTCTAATTATTCCATTCCAGCAACTAGAAACTAACCTGACTAGGGCTCCCTGGTTTACTGCCTCTCACACAGATGCTGGTCGCTCTACCAAAGTCTACTCGATTTCCCTCTAGTCAACGCAATTGGCGGCCCTCGTTTACAGTTAATACTATAACAACACTCATTTCGAGGGACTGGACATTACCACACTAGTCGCAGTTCACCTCGCATGATAAAACCTAAAATTCCGAAGGCCTATCAAAAGACTGATGTCCGGAGTGTTTTAGCCAGCTTTGTATTTA